GGCGACACCGACCTCACAGCCCCAGCGCACTTGGGACCAGTGACTGTTCACCTATGGGGCAAATAACACCAGTTGCGTTATTTTGAAGCGTTTGACGAGGTCTGTGCTGTCTTCTCTCCATGCCTGGATTTGCTTGACCACTCTTCCTGGTCCCACAGGAACCTGAGAGTTGGTTACAGTGTTGCTTGATGACCAGTCCAGGGCACAAATTAATCATGAATTGCTTGAATGCTGATTTGCCATCAGTGACCTCAGAGTCGCGTCCACCGGTCCCAAAGTTCGGTACACCGGGGGCTGAGCAGGCGATGTCAGTACAGCCCCGGGGGTGGGAGGATCCCAGCCTGGAACCAGCGGGAGAGAGGTCACACGGGGCTTAGTTACCGGGGGTGTTCACAGCCATGGGCAAGCAGGTCAGTCAGTGATGCAGCCATAGCCTGTATTTCATTTTAGCAATCTCTGACTGTCAGCTGTGTGTGCCAGGGCGATACGCCCACATGCACACACTGCCACGCTCACCTGGTGCTTCAGTAGTCTGTAAACTGGAGTTAAGCTACTTAAAGTCTGTAAGTTACATGATACTTTTCTACCTTCTACTTTAACTGCAAGGAGATGACGTTCAACTCACAGTTCCATCGACTTCTGACCTGTCTCCAAGGAAGTGGTGGGAGAAACAATGGGAAAAGAGAAACACAGCCCAGGAACTTAGCCACCTAGCAAGAACCGGCCCTGGGCTGCAGCCAGCAGCAGGTGTTAGTCACGTCTACAAACAGTTTGGGTCAGTGATGGGGCAGAATTCTGGGCCAGAGAATTTGAGATGACCCAGCAAAGGAACAAGCTTGCCATCTTCCTGATGAGTTAAGAGCCCCTGGCCAAAGCTGAGGGGCCTTTCCTTACTGAGCCCAAACAGATGGCAGGATCACAGGGCTGGGACCCACAGGCCGTCCCATCCTCTCTTCAGCTCTACAGGGCAGGATTAAAAGCGTTCCAAACCTTCGGCTTCAACTTATGCATGAACAGGTTTGAGCTTCTACTTTAAGTCCTGCTTTGATGCTTTAGTCTCCATAGTGCTGTTCAATGCTCTTTATTGAGTCACTTTGTATACTGGGTTTGTTGTAATGTAAGGAGTCGCTTTGTGCCCCTCGCGTGGCTGGGTTGGGGTTTTTCCTTCCTCTCGCCATCAGCTGACCCAAGTTGCCTTCGCAACTCTACCTTTGCCCATGGCACATCAACGTGCAGAATCTCAGGTCCATAGATGGTACGACCACCTCATCTCATAGTTACTCTCTACACTTGCCCATATGCAATTTTTAAAAGGTGACATACTGTTTATACTACGTCCCTACAGCCTTTAAAAATAAAACTCTTGCCCAAAAGTGTTGAAAAGAGAAAATGTATTTTCTTCTTTTCATTCTGTTCCCCAAAGATCTACACAATTGTTCCAAGTTAAAAATCAGTCAAATACAGAATTAACGTATAAAAAGCTTGCCACTTTTATTTGCATACAAAACAGAAATGAAAGAGGTTCACAATAAATTACCAGTGTGCTCCCATGGAACATTCATGTGTATTTATATAATGTGGGTTAAAAAAAAAAATATTCCATTAACACAAGATTTCTTTGCAAAAGTAATAGTTCAAGGAAACCTGATTATGCATTGTTCTCCAGTGAATTTAGCAGGGTTACTCTGCTAGTAAAACAATTCATCCAAAACTAACAGAACAATCAACTGGAAAAACAGGGATAAAAAAGAGCATTAACTTTTCTGAATGGTTCTACAAACACCAAGTAGCCAGATGCAGTTTTTTAGATACAGTTTGAATAGCGTATGGAACAGTACTCCAGAGAAAGATCTACAAGTGACCTTTCATCTTCATCTAGCACCAACCCACTAACATCCTAAGGTTCTGGCATGCAAGATAATTACCATTATTTCTTGTGTCAACTGAGCACATCCTTTTTTTTTTTTTCTCCCTCCTTTAATTCAAGAGCCTGTAAACCTCTTCCGTGCCAGGTTAGGCACCTGGACAAAGGGCCACACACAGATGCACGTAAAACGTTTCCCTTTTTTAAACAGTTCATTGAGAGGGTTTTTTCCCGTTCACCCTTTTGCGCGCTGGAGTCTGGACGCTCCTTTTGGCTATCTTCCTGGTGAAGCGGCTAATTCCCGGGGATCTCAGTTCAAGAGCTTCCATCTCTTCTCGAACGGGAGTAAACTCTGGTTGAGCAAGATGAGGTGATGGATAGGAGGACTGGGAGTACGGGGATGGTAAGGGGTAGGACCCGTGAACTACGTACGGCTGTTGCTCACCATCATAAAGGTCCTCGGGGTCATAGATTTGGTAGGAGTTATGTGGCAACTGCACTACTGGGATGTCTTGATCAGTTGGCTCACCGTATCCACCTTAACCCACCACCACCAAGAGCATTCATACGGTTAACAAAGGAGAAGGGGAGTAGAAAATTAAAGCACTCATTAGGAAATTGACATTTTATATAGAGATATATTTATATATAATGTGTGTGAGGATATATATCATCTTTAAATACACATCTTTTATTCACAGAAAGGAACAGTGAAAACATTTAACAAAATTAATAAGCTGGAGCAATTGGAAACCCACCAACAGACAGCCAAGTTAGTTGGAAACCACCACCGGGATTTGTCAAACGTCCAGTTGTAATACTGCGCTCATTATACACTGCACAACCTGCCTGCTTTACCTTATTCCAATTATGGGCTAGAATACATGATTAAAAGGCAAACAATGGGTCAGGCAATAATTTTTAGCAGTGCAAGGAAGCGAAGTGCATGTACAGCGGCTAGTAAGTTCATTAGTGGTAGTCAATATCGTTGATGGAAAGCACAGAACAGTTCAGCATCCATCTCTGACCTTCAGCCAAATGAGACCTGAACCAGAGTGAGCCTTTCACCTTCTGGATCGGTAGCCATTGTAAGGGATTGGGCCTTAAAACAGGAAAGGAACAACGGGGAGGGGAAGTGAGGGGAAAAGGATAGGAAGAGACGACAACAAAAACATTCAGGTAAGTAAAACATACAAATCAGCTCACAGGCAGATTAAACCGTCAATGTCAAACAAATATGCCTTATGTGTAACATTTGTAGGAACTAGCGCTTTACTAACAAGTTTTGATTTTAGGTTGGGCGACGTAATTTTTGGTAATTGTGTTAACTTCCTCCCATGGCCCCTCCGTGCTATAAGGAGATGGGAAAGTAGGGTACAGAGAAGACGTAGAAAGAATCATGTTCTCCAGATTGCCTCGCTGGTTAATGACGGACACGTGCATCCCCGTGTCAGGTTACACTACTAGGGGTTTAGTAAGGGTCATGCTCTCATGCCATTCAGAGGCACACGGAAGGGGAAACTGAACAACACCTTTGAAAAACTACAAATGGAAAACTCTGCTGTCATGAACAATAGGAGGTGGGGGTTCAACACACAGACCGTTGGGACGGAGCAGGCTCTACACAAAGACGTACAGGACGAAAACCCACTACACAGGATTCGTTTTAGGGGCTGGGATCAGCTGGTGGACTTCCCCTGGTCACTACGCTGGGGTCACCTTCTCCTCACGCTGCAGTCCCACCAAACACGGCAGCACTGGACACGCACGTTTTAATGGAGCAACCACGTTTTAGCGCAAGGTTCACCAGTAGCCTCCAGCTTACTTTGGCTGTTGGAAAATGCCACCCCGGCCTCTACAAACGGCAGCCGCCCTGACTCCCAGCTACTCACCTCCCATGCCGTAACCAGCGCAGGAGGACGGATCACAGTACCCTGGTGGGCCAGAAGGACCCTGTGAGCCCGGGGGCCCCATATGACCGGCGGGACCTCGTGGGCCTGGAGAACCTGGTGGTCCGGGGCTGCCAGTTCGACTTTCTCCTGGAGGTCCTGAGCAGGAGGGGGAAATGAAACATTTGAGCGGCGCGTTTCATAAAGCAGCGAGTTGAGGTCACCTTGGCAGGTCTGGTGCTTTGAAAACATGGCACCGAGCATGCTACAAACACTTCCAGGAGATAGCGTGAGCGGAGGAGCATCTCAGCAAGCCAAGGGAAAGGCTACAGCCTTCCTCTGCAAGGAAGACGAAGCAGCGGCCAGAGAGGAGGCTCGTTAGGAGCAGGGAACCCCCGCTGCTCCGTCTTCCTTGCCAGAGGCAGCTCTTAGCCAGAAATTTGTACTAAAGCAAATGTTTCAAGCGTCAGATGTTTAGAAAGGCAGTTTCATGGGGGAGGATGGACCCGGCTGCCTGCGCAGCTCCCGATTCACCCACTCACTTTCACTTCTGGGTAACGCTGCGCCTCGATACTGGTGCTCCAGTATATCCTAACAAAGTCAATGCAATTTTACGCCTGTTCCAACAGGCCCTGGATATCACCTTCTCTGCTTTTTTCAGGAGCTAAATATAAATCCCTGTGATTAATATGCTTAATTAATATACATTTCTCTGTCAAGTTACAGCTAGGTATGACTTTGAGCCAATGGGAAAACAAATGCAAATTAATCCAGAGTAATTTTTTCCCTTTCCAGGCTCCATTTCTGAAAAAAAAAAAAAAATAATTAAAACATTAAAAAGGAAGGTTTTGGAGAAGCAGTTTATCACAGGGAAAAGGAAAACACTTGTGTGACTGATGACACCGTCATGTGACGCATCACGACGTCATATTACATAGTAAGAAAATGATGACAATTAAGATGCCTGAGCTACTGACTCTTCTGCTACTTAAGCCTTAGAAGTGGAGGACAGAGCCATGCAGGTCTTAGCGGCTTTGTGCATGGGTCGGAGTGGTCTAATCCAGGTGTCCCGAACACAAGAGCTTTACCTGTAGATCCTGGTGGGCCTCGGGGTCCTTGTGTTCCAACACCTGGATTGCCTTTTTCTCCTTTCTCGCCTGGTAAACCTAAGGAAATAGTCCTCATCAGAGTCACATTTTGAACAAAACTGTGTGCAGTGTTTATTATTTAACCAGGGTTATAGTTCCATGTGTTATTTTTCATCTAAAAACAGATGGCAGAGAAGGAAGGAGGTAAAAATAAAGAATTATTTGGTTCTTTTCCCCCTCCTTTCCCTGACAGCCTCTCAAGGGAAACATGGCATTCCT